GAGGCCTTTGGAGGCCATTTGGGTGAACTACGTTCGGCTTGATTCCTTGGGCAAGAGGATACGTAGGCAGTCTTTACGATGCAGCCGGGTTGGATTTTGATGGGGGGTGAGATGATTTGGTGAGTTGATACTGACATTTGGAGAGTGATTGCATTCTCATTTGGGTTCTCGACTTGTTATGGATTGAGTCCGTTGTCGTGAATTATTTCACGGTGTACTGGACACAACAAGTGAGATATTTGGTTTGGTTGGTGTCGGCTCAGTTTTGGGAAAACTTCACCGAGGTGGAGAATTGTGAACGTGGGGCCACCATGTGACGTTCTCAATTGGAAAACGTGAAGGGATAGCCACAAGTGTGAACACAGAGTTCACAACGCGTGAAAAGATCACGTGAACGCGGTTTTGATTAGAGAGAAGATGGCCCACCCGAAAACTTGTGGAAACTACAACTATATATTTCTCTTTTGCAGACTTAGGGTTTTGTGCAAAAGTGGGGGAGGACGGCAGAATTCGTGCAGGAGGTTTTCGGCTGGTGTTTCTCTTTTGACTGCGCGGTGCAAGCAATTGAGGGTGCGGCTGCAGAGGGCAGTTGCGAAGGTAGAGAGCTTGGCTTGGAGGCGTGTGCAAGCAGCAAAGGTGCAGAAACAGAGGGTTCTCAAGCGGCTTTTGAGAGAGGAATTGAGAGAATATTTGAGGGTTTAAATTGTGAGAGTTGTAAACCTATTAATTCTTATCGATCTTTCTCTCTTATTGTGCACCAGAAACTCTGCCGAAATTTCCGCTGAGCACAACAATGTCTAGTTAAATAAATTACACGTGTAACCGCCATAATTAACTCATTGAATAGTTTAAACTCTACATTAGGGAACATTAACTAGTTTCACTTGAACAACAATATTGCAATTTTAATTCCCTGAAACTCTCACTTGCACTCAAATAAAAATAATTTCACCTTTTACAAAAATGCACCCAGTTATTTAACAAAACACAAAATGCTTACAAAATGTCACACTTGCTCTCCAGCTCAAAGCTAGCTTTCGAACACAAATCATAATTCTATCAAATAAACAAGCACCACCCTTCAAGCGCTCGCTCTTCCTCCCAACGGTTGTGCGCGTACAAACGGGCAGAGCCTTGAGCATTAAACATAGTAATTTACTCCTAAATTTAGGACCCAGCTCTATTACTCAGCAAGCAGGATTAGGAAATTCAGGTCGGAATTTTTGCTCAAGTCCTCTTCCCATCTTCACTAACCTCGACAACATTTACAAATCAAATGCTCAGCGCAAACCAAAAAAATCCAACAAGCAATTTTGACTAAAATCCAACAAGCATCAACCATCATCCTCAAGTATAACTCATTAAACAACAAGAACCCTCAATCTTAAAAATTAAAATTAAAATTTTACCTACAGACAATTTTGATTCAAGCTCCCTTTGGATCTGAAGTTGAAGGAGGAGGTCGGAGTCGGAGTTTGGTCGGCGAGCTGCTTCTGGCGACGATCGGAGTTGGTCGGCGGGTTGGGTTTGAGGCGTTGTCGGGTAACCCCAGCGGCGGTGCTTGGGTTTCACTCTGGTGAGGGTTCGACGAACCAGAGAGAGGGAGGAGGGTTTGAGGGAGAGGCGGGTTTGAGGAGTTGTCGGGTAACCCCAGCGGTGAACGAGAGAGAGAGAGAGGGAGGAGGGTTTGAGGAGAGAGAGAGAGAGGAGGACGAAGGAGAGAGAGGGACGAAGGTTTGAGGAGAACTGGGATCTGGTCACGAGATAAAAGTTGTCGGGTTCAGAACTAATCAGCACCGCTCGTGTTCTCCAAGGGCCCAGATCTAATTTCGCACACTGCTGTGCGAAAACTCATTCGCACAGGAAAATTGCACTCATTTATAGAACATATGAACTTTATATATAATATATAATTACCCAAATGTAAAAATATTGAGGTGATTTTTTGACAAATTTACTTAGTTGTTGCTAGGAACTTTGAGAGGTTGATAATATATAGGAGAATGGTTGTAGAGAAGTTATATGTGATAGGGATTTGAAATTGTGAGTTTAATTTGTTGTTAATATTGATACTAAGGAGGGTTAATGGGGGTTATGAAACCGATGAATAATTATGAGAAGCATATATTTGAAGGGGTGCATTAATGTATAGATGTATATGTATGCATTTTATGTATGTACTAAACTTTTGGTAAAAAAATACATGTATACATATGTTTTATGTATGCATGTATGTGTTTTTAGAGAACATTTTGGGAAGAAATGTTTGAACATACTAATCTACTTTTATAATAATACAAGTATAAGTTTTATGCCCAGAAGATCGCGATTATCTGGCCCCACACAACTTAATTATGATAAATTTCAATATTTCAGAGCGGGCATGGATACTTTTAAAACTTCAGCATATCTTTCTCTAATTTCCAACCTTTCGAAGGGTTTTGCACAAAGCACTCCCAAGCTAGGGAAATAGATAAGAAAATTTTGATATGATAATAAGCAAAACAATTTGTTCCTACTGCTGCATCTTTGAATTTAAAGAGGGAAAAAGGAACTTCGCACTTATTAATATGGCTAAGTATCATAAAACCTCTCTTAACTCTTGATGATTTTCAGATAGACCCCTTTAACTTTAAAAATATCGGAAAACATCCCTTAACATATAGGGATTATTAAAAAACTTCTACTTTTGATATTTTATCAATAAACCCCTTTAACTTTGATATTTTATCATGTTTGTCACTTTTTGGGGATTTCTTGATAAAATCCCAAAGGGGTTTTATGATAACCCCTAAACTTAAGAGAATTTTTTAATAATTTTCAAACGTGAGGAGTTGTCTGATAATTGTCCAAAGTTAAAGAGGGGTTTTCTGATATTTGGCCTACTAATCTTGTAGCATACATAACTATTATAATTCTGGCTTTAATGAAAGAAACTAAACACTAAATTATGGGCTTGGATTCTCTGCAATATTGATCGTAGAGAATGTCTACAATTAGTTATATTTAAATGTATCTCATTAGATTCCACTATTAAAAACATTTTTTAACCGTGAAAAGCCTTTTTTATATCGTTTAGACAAATAATATAATTTATGGGATCCGCATGGACGTGAATATTTTATTGATGAATTGTAGAGATTCTCTACAACAAAGGATGGAGAGGATCTTTACCCCCACATTATAGGAAGCTCTAGGTCAGGATCTGCCTATGGTACTTATTTAAAAAAAAAGAGGCGCTACAGGCACACTCTAAGGCACACCACCAACCACACTCGCTCTCTCTTTACAGTGTAGGGGGCTCCACATGTGATTTTTTTAAAAAAATCACATATGAGGCCCCCTGGACTGTAGAGAGAGAGGGAGTGTGGTTGATGGTGTGCCTTAGAGTGTGCCTCTATCATTTCTTTTTAAAAAATTGCCTATAGAAAGCAAAACTAAATGCTAGACATTTCAAGTTAAAGTCTCTACAAATTATGATAACAACAACATCTTGCTAGATGGTGTCAAATAGTGCTTGAGAAATGGTTGGAAAGTCGATTTTTGGAGGGATTGTCGGCTTCTCTGATGCCCGCTCGCTTCTTTATCGTTGATATTCAACTTAATTTGTCTTTGAAAATCTTTTTCTGTTGGAATAAGAAATGGATGATATTTTGATATAGCGTCATTCTGGAATTTTTTATTAGATGGGAATTTCCTCCAGAAGGTTGGGTTATGGTTAATAGTTAATACGGATGAAGTTAGTCGTGATAACACGAGTCTAGTTGGTGCGGGCGGAGTCATTCAAGATGATTAGGGCAATTTGGGTTTTGAGGTTCGTGGAAAGTTTGGGATGCGCTTCTGATAATGTGGACATCTGAAAACATGAAAAACAAATTTAAAAGGCTTTTCTCGATGAAAGCTCCTTAAATTGTTAATATTTTAAAATCAGTCTCTCAAATCATTAAGTTTGGTACTACATCCCTCAAACCTTATATCTTGCCATTATTAATACATTGGAATGATTAACTTGAAATAACTTATAAGACAAGGCTCGGGGAACTTAATAGCAATTTCAATGATTTGAGTGACTAATTTTGAGACAAGTTATAAGAATAGAGAAACTTAACAATTTCAGTGATTTATTGGAATTTTTTTTTCCAAAATGTTAAAGATTTAAGGGGCTCATACCGAAAAACCCCCATTTAAATCATTTCATCACTTAAAAGCTCTGAAAACTCCTTGCATATATGAAAGTCTACTATTCAAATCCAATTAAAGGTTTTACAAACATACAGCCCCTCGATTATCTTAGAATTGAGATCTCCTAAAATTATGGAGTACATTCTAATTAAGCTTCGTTAGTACACGTGTTGAATTTTTTTTTTATGACAAGAAACAGTCATTTCAAACTTTATGTAATAACAAATCTTCATGTATGAATCCTAAAACATCATACGGCAACTAAATGATGATTCACCACCAAACACACATTTGCTTACTTGAATCATCACCTAATTCTGGCCCCTAAAATACCTTAATGGTGTGTTTGGGAGTTTACTTATGGTGTGTTTGGGAGTTTACTTAGGGAAGGAAAGGAAGGGGAAGGAAGGGGAATTTTTCCCCTTCCTTCCCTTCCCCTCCATTACACCCCAATTTGGGGTGTAAGAATTTGTGCCAAATTTCCCCTCCATTCCCCTCCTCTACCCTCCAAAATAAAACTCCCAAACAAGGTTAAAATGAGATTTCCCTTCCCTTCCCCCTCTGTACCCTCCATCCAAACAGGCAAGAAAAAGATCCTTCAAAAGGTCTTTCACTCTTTCACTCTTCCAAGCATCAACCAATTATATCCACTTCAAACTCTCTCCCATCATTAAAACCCAACTATGCACAACAACCCAAGTTGATTCTTAAAGTAGGAGGAGTTAGCTCACCAACAACATATTCCAGCTCCTTCTCCTCTGCTTATAAAATCCCACTTCTCCTCTGCTTCTGCAGCTCTCAATATCTCCACCAAATAAAAAGTTCCAAGTTATCAAGATGGCTGAAAGACAACTAAGCATGGGTCTAACCCTAGTCTTCATCGTCACAATGTGGGCTGGTTCTTTCGCTCAGCCTAGCTGCCCGCCGCCGATGGTCAGTCTTCAGCCCTGCCTCGGATTTATAACTGGCAACTCGTCCTCGAACCCTCCGCCTCAATGTTGTACGCAACTTGCAAGTATGGTTCAGTCTCAGGCTCAGTGTCTCTGCCAAGTGCTTAGTTTAGCTCCTCAACTCCCGTTGCCTGTTAATCGGACTCAGGCCGTTACTCTCCCTGGCGCTTGCAACATTCAGGTTCCACCCCTCAGCCAGTGTAATGGTATGCAATGTCTCATCTCGACTCATCTTAGTTCGTTAGGGGTTATTTGGTTCGTTGCAGCTGCAAGGATCGTAACTTTAGCTGCATACAAGTGAGACTATTGCAGTTGTTTGTTTCACGGCAGCTGATAAATACAGTAACAACTACAGTTGCAAAGAGGTCTCCAAATTGCAACTGATGGCAAACCAACTACGATTACGATTGCAATTTAGGGAATTGGGAAGCCTGAACCGAACAACTACAGCAAGAACCTTTGCGTGCAGTATTAGCTACGTGCAACTAGCACTTGCATTGCAATTGCAGTCGCAGAGAACGAAACAACCCTTAGTGGTTATTAGAAAAACAAATGTTTGAGAACATGTGTATAAAAAAAAAAACAATGTGTGTATTTGCATTCAAATTAACTGGTTTTCCAACAACGAAAATATATAAGAATGCAAACTTACTCGCAACTCCAGTCACTTCTAACCGTTGCATTCATTATGTAAATTAGTCAGTATAAAACTAAACAGCCAACGCTAATATATTGTATTGTGCATACCTGCAGCTCAATCTGGACCGTCGACTCCTACAACTCCATCTGGACCGTTCATCCCTGCAGCGGGATC